TTATGCCAATTTTTATGCATTTTATTTGCACACAACTTAATTTTTTGTACATGTATGTCATATTTTTCAATTGCCATATGACTTTCACTATTTGTTTGGGCTGTTATCCACTAAATGTCTGCGTTTTGCAATTTGTAGTGGATAACAAGGGTTGTAGAAATGAATTATTGGATCCTTTGATTTTATAATGCTTATATAGGGTGCTTATAAAACTTGTCATTGGGCGTACATCATATCTTGCATAAGAATGAGGGAATGAGATTCCTTTCATGAGAAGGAGTTAAATATGCATGACTTGTTCAAATGAGTCAGTATAAGGTACTTATTTGTTTTACCAAGTGTTTATTCAAATATGATAAATAATACAAGTGTGATAATCCATGTTTTGTAATTGTAATAATAAAATGTGATTTTGGTATTGAGAATTTTAAAGGCAAAACACTTAAAATAGGTCAAAATTGGAATTTGAATTCTTAAGATGCATTTCACTGGAAATGCATGATTATAACTCATCACAGGTAGGACATGGGTATTTTTGGTTTAGGAAAAAAAGAAAAGGAAAAAAAGAAAAGAGAGAAAGGATTGAAAAAGGATGAAAAGTGTGATTATTTCGTAAGTTGTTTGGTATGATTGAAATTATACAAAGTTAGGTATGTATATATGTAAATGGCAAAAATATCCTTACTAAAATAATATGTAAAGCTAAGGCTGTTTTAGTCATTAAATAAATAAGAAAAGGCTTCTCTCTCTTTTCTTTTCATTTGGGAGGAATGCTGAGGTATGCTATTCTTATCTTTCTTTCCTCTTTCTAGCATACCAAAGAGCGTGTTAGTTTTGATTAAAAGGGTCAACCCAAATTAAAGAGGGATTTTACATAAGTCTGAATTCGGCAGATTATGAATAGTCAGTAGCTGTGTTATTTGTAAATCATTTTCGGTTGCTATGCTAGCTGTATATAAACTAGTGTAATCGTGCAGCAAAATAGAACGTTAATATAATCGTGCAGCATAATTCACAGTAAAAAAAAGTTTTCTTATTTCTCTAGCCATAGTAAAGGGTGAGAGAGAAAACACTAGGAACACCGACTGTAGGTAGGCGTTGTGGTGTGATGAAGGAGCCAGTATTGATTCGTTTGTGTAGATCTTGCAACTTTTGAATGTTTGTGATTGGCAAACTATAAAGACCATTACGGTTGAGATTTAGCTTGTTTTAGCTATACTTGCTTCCACTTTTGAGGTAATGTTTTACTTGACATACATATGAAATGTTCTTGGTGTTCGACGATTTAATAATATAATGTGTACTCAAATTGGGATCTTAAAGGTAAGCATTTTAAATCTTATGCCCATTTAAATCATTTGTACTTCATTGATCAGAACTAATCCCCTTTTCAAAACTTTGATGCATGTTTGCCGAGAGAAAAAGCTGCATTGATAAAGGGTGGAAAAAGAGCTTCTTTTAGAGATTTTCCACATATATCAAGTCTGATTGCATTGTTGTTTAAGCGTTGTGCAAAATTCAATTTTTTAACTTATAAATCTTCTCAATGATCTGAGCCTTCTAATAATTCTTGCATTGAACTACAGCGAAAAATGCTAATTATGAGGCAAGGCAATGCATTGATCGAATCCCTCTTTTATGTAAAAAAATACTTGTAATGAGAATGCTGTAAACGATTGATAAGAGTGGTGTCGAGGGTTGGATTTAGTTTTCATACAAAAAAGTTATTCAAGCTAAATTTAAAATTAATGGTCGTTAAATCTTGTGTATTTTCTTTTTTTAATCTATGGGAATTAAACACGGGTAAGTTTTGTACACTCATGTACTTTATTTAATTAAGTGAGCTAAATGATTTGATGAGAATTTGAAAAATAAATAATGTACTGTTTTCAAAAATTTATTATTACTTTTAGAATATTTTTAAATTAATACCTAATAACAAAACACTAAAGGAGATTAGTGTTGTGTTGGATGGGAGATAGATACTCCCTTATAATGAAAAAAAATATTAACATCTAATTAAATAAATCAACATAATACAAATTCAATAAGTTTTATTAACTTTTAAAAAAATCTTGTACTAAAGGTGTGGTTTGGATAAGGTAAAAAAGTATTTTATGGGGAGATATAACATTAAACACATTATAAATACTAGTATTGTTGATGTGTCTATTTTTATTTAATAAAAATGTTTAAAAATTATCAATGTTTGTTACATCAATTGATGTTTGATTTTTAAATTTTATAGTTATAGGTTTAAATCTTGTATTTGCAAGGATAATTAATGTTTAATATTATTTTTGTTATTTAAAAATTTAAAGATAAAATCAAATATGTAGACCTAATTAAGATATTGAAGGTGAGGTTTGTGCTGCCGTGGACAACGGATAATATATAGTTCACGGTGGAGTAATTTTAGTCACTAGAGATAGGTGGGTTCCATCATCCGTTATTTGTTTATTTATTTTATATTATTTGGTACACATGCATTTAAAAGAAAAGAGATGATATCATGGTTCTTAATAAATATAAGTGAAAATATATTGTCATGTTAGTAAGGGTGGTTATTTGAATCTATGTGACTATTTTACCCTAATAATAATCGGTTATATAGCTTGTTTTTATATTTCAAAATTGGTTATAATTAAAATTGGTTTTTGAAGTTTATTTATTTTTAATTAATAGTGTGTTTGTGTTTGGATGAGGAATTTTACAAATTCAAGGGATTTTAAATTCTTTGGTATTTGAATTATTTTGATTTCAATTTCTATCATTCTTAAAATATTTTGTTTAGATAAGTTAATTCAAATTTCTTAAATTTTAAATTATTAGGTTGAATATGATAATTTGATTCCAACATAGTATAATTGATTTTAAAGATATATTTATATGTTGAGATTTTTAAATTAAGTTTTACAAAAATAAATATTAGTTAATTTTTAGATATTTAATAATTTTAAAAATTAATATTAGATAATATTTAATAATTTAAAACATAATTTTGAATATATAATAATTAAAAACATGAAGAGATAAGAGATAAGATAAAATATATAAATGAAATAAGAAAAAAATGAGAAATTTTAAATTATTATTATTTTTCAAAAAATTTAAATTTTTACTATTTCAAGGAATTTCACAAATATTTGAATTTTAAATTCTTTATAACTTTTCTGTTTAAACAAGATATTTCACTTCAAAAAATTTGAAATTCTTCAAATAAATGAGTTATTTTATTTAAATTCCTCATCCAAACACATTATAAAATTAATTTTATATTTGTAGGCAAAATTTGCTATTGGTTGAAGATGTGACATGCAAATAATATGGTACATGTATTCGGATGTTTCTACAATTTGAAATAACTTAAATATCAAAATTATTTACAAAATAAGTTATTTTAATTTACTTTTAATATATATATATATATATATATATGTATATATATATATATCAATATTTTGTATATATTTCAACATTATTTCCTTTTGTTACCAATATGTTTTAAAAAAAATTGTTAGTTTGTTTTGCTTTTTCCTTAAATTGTATATGGTAACAAATAATCATAATTCATAGGAGATAATAAGTGGAATCAATGATTTGTGAAGACTAATAAATCTACAACAGTATCTTCAAGCAATTGTCGATTGTAGGTGTGAATGCAAGATGCTAGTAAAATGATTGGTCAAACAGAGCCTAAGGCTACTTCATCCCATCTTTTTGTGTGTTATATATATTAAGTGAGTGCACCGAAAAAGAATGAAAATTGGGTTTATCTATACTATGACGAAGAATAATTGCGTATTCCTATGATCTTTGCTAAGAAGTAGGAGCATTTGATGGAGTAGTGGATTATTGTTGTTTCTTAGAAGATGTGCGTGATAGAGGCTTCGTGGCACCTTTGTTTGGCCTTCTTCATTTGCTTTGAGGATCATGTGAACAAATAATGGGTAGAAGGATGTGAGATCCTTATATGAAGTCGTTAATTTACTTAACCTGCACGGTGGGAATGAGTTGAGTAAACTACTTTGGGACTAGAAAAATAAAAGAAACAACTTTACTTAGTGCTCTGATTGTTATTTTTTTATTTAGTATCTTACAACGAAGGGAAGACAACGGTAGTATTTTGAATGATAAAACAAAGGGTGAAATAGTACCAGTGAATCCCTAATTTGATTGGATTTTCAAGGTCTGAAAAATTTGGTTGAGATAAATTAGATGATAACACAATTTTTTCCCTTTCTTTATGGAGAGGAAAATATTTTCTTATGACCTTTATCTTTTGTCTGAACTAAAAATAGAACTCAATCATTCTTTTGATCCTTGCATTTTTTGCAAGGAAGGAAATGCATAACTAATGCTTATAAAATATGTGAATATTCATGCTATACAAAAAAGATGTTATGGATATACTACTTACATCATCTCTATTAGTGTTGGATTATAACCATTGTTATTTTTAGTGGGGAGAAATGAGTGAAAGGAAATAAGAAGGCAAGATGAATTAGTTATAGAAATATTTAATTGTGTTTGTAATTGTTTTCATATAAAATGCTTTTTAGTATTTCCTATACATATATTTGAAAATAAAAAGAATATTTCATAATTAAAAAGTAAAAAATAAAATTAAACATGAATAAATCAACCCTAAATTTTCATAAATTGGAATGAAATTGAGTGAATATTCTCTCCTTTTTTATTTTGGAATTTTTTAAAAATTATGATTTAATTTTTTTTATAAATACGAAATGTAAAGAACTTTTTTTAAGATAGTAAATAATATTAAACTATTTATTGTTATTATAAAATATTTATATATTATTATCTTTTCTATTTAAACAAACAAACAAAAATATTATTTCATTTATTTTCTTCATATTTCTATTTATTGAATGAGATTCACCGCTTATTAGTCCAACTCCCCTTAAAAATAAAAAACAAAAAGGGCGCCAATCCCGTGCCGCGAAATTTAAAAGATTTCGAACGAAAAAATGGCAATAGCCTTTACCATCTCACCTTCTTCTCTTCTCTTCTCTTCTGTGCTCGCATCTTATCGTAGCTGCATTTTGAAGTACCATTTTCTTCTACTCGCCCCATCTTCGACCGTTTTTTCATTTTTTTAACCCCTGTTTGGATGCTAAGAAAGTTTAAACTGTTGTGACATCTTTTTTTCTTTAGGTTCCCAGTTCCATGTCGTCGCTTTCATGCCCTTCTGGTTCCTATCTATTACTTTTCATAACTTTTAATATTTTAACTGTTAAACCACCCAAACGTTAAAAGTTAACTCTTTTTGAATTATATGTTTTTGGGTGTGTCTGTCAGAGCCTCCTGATGTTGGGATTTGGTTCTCAAGCTATGAGTATCGGTCTCCCGATCTGGATTCCAATTTTAGTTCCGAAGATTCTGCTTTAGGAGGAAAAGAATCTCTGAGAGATGAAGATGATGAGGAGGAGGAGGAAGAAGAAGAAAAAGTTAGGGTTCGAAATGATGGGATTCCTGGGGAGAAGGGAGTCCAATGTAACATAACTTGCGTTAAAGAGGATAATCATAACGAAGACCTGTGCTTAACCAAGGTAAAGCTTCTACTCAATTTTTCACTTTTGAATTGAGGGAAGAAAGAAACTCAGCTTATTTGTATTCAAAGGTTAAATTTTATTTTAGGGTTTTTAAAGTTTGGCTCTCAGATGTTAAGCTAAGAGATGAGGATTTTAGAATTTTGAATCTGATTTTTATTTTTTATTTTTGCTTCTTACAGAATCTGAATCCGGAGTCATTCAGCTCATGCTCGCTCCTTTCTGGTTTGCACTTTGCCGTACTTCTTTTAGAATTTCTTTTTGCAAAAAGTAGCTATGATTTGGTTGCCTAGAAAACTTCTGTTCAGTCCTACATATTCAATTATTCAAGCTTTATGTGTTGTTTTCATTTTTCTAATTCAGAGCCTCTAGACATCAAAAACTGGTTCTCGAGCTATGTTTACGAGTCACCTGAGTGTGATACAAGTAGTCTTTTTGGAGATGATGTTTCTGAAGAAAATGAGAGGTTTGATTTTGAAGTCGTGAGAGAAGATAAAAGTAAGTCTGACTCTGAGAATGTCCACTCCAAAGGGTGTGTTGAGCACGATAGATCTTCTAATAAAAACCCAAAGGTAAAGCAAAAGCAGCCTTAACGCAGCTTATTCATTCTTGATTTCTCCATGATAACCTTTCTGTTTTATAATCATCTGGGCAAATAACCTTTCTGTTGGAATGTATGCAATTGTTATAGCACTAGTTGACTTGAAGGTGTTTTTATATTAAGATAATCTACGTCTATGTGCTTGGTTCTTTTGTGAAAAAACAGGATTAGATGCCAAGTGCATTGCTGACTAGTTGTCACATGGGATAGGGGAGTTTTTGGACTTGTTAAGGACACATGTAGAGAATAAAGCATTCTCTAGAGCCATACAATTACACTGGTAGCATGGAACCTATGATAACCCAGTACACTCCCTTAGTTGAAGACTTGGATATCATGAGATCTGTTTCTTAGTTTCCATGCGATAGGACTAACCCAAGGTTTCTAGTAATGGATCAACGAGTTACTAGATATGATGCCCAACCGGAGTCGCTATATTTCACCAAGGTTAGAGCATTGTAGCGTGCCATATTCTTGTCGGGGGCTTGCATGAATTGACTTGAAATGTGGATTGAATGTGACAACTCTGGTTGTGTTGTAGTGAGGTATATAGTCGACCAACTTACCTGTGATACAGTGATGGATCCGGCTAAGGAGTGCCTGCTGATGTTGACAAGTAATGATGCTTTTCCATGGGAAATGTGCATGGATTGCAATCCAGCATGCCATACTCTTGTGAGATATTCAATGCATACTTGCATTGGCAAAGGAATAGGCCATTGGGAGTCCAAGCTATTTCCAATCCTGGATAATATTTCAAGGCCACCCCGAATCCTTCATGTGAGAGCATCTGTAATGATAAGATTTGAATTGGACTTTGGACACACATGTCGTGATGTAATTGCCCACAATTACCAGACTGTCAACGTATACGAACATGTCTATGAAAATATGATCCAATGAATATTAACACTAATTCTTGATTTCTCTATTCATACCTTTCTGTTTTATAATTTTTCAGGTAAATAACATATTTACTCACTGATGAATACACATGTTCGTAATTTCTGATGTAAGACTGAATTAAAGTCTGACAATGAAAATTTATGCCTAATTGAACTCAGAAATAGAATGCTTCACTAGCTGATGAATATATACTGTTTAGTTGGTGGAATTTCAAACAAAAACAAAAACTTCCATATGCTAATTGTTTGTCCTTATGAACTTGCCAATAGGATGAAGTTTAACAACAAACCGACAGTATATAGATTTTTCTTTTGTAGTGAAAGGAAGTTTGGTTCATACATGACTGAAAATACATAAATGTGTGCAGTAACTTCCTCCAAGGCATCTGTGCTCACTGTTTCTTCTTTTTATTTTTGCTGTTAAAATCACAGGGTGATGAAAGCGCTGAAACGAAGAAAATTTCATCTGCTGATACTTTCCATCCGAAAAAGATTTTGCAGCCATGCATGCAAGATAAGACACTGCAACATAATCTTGGTCCAACCAAGTACAACGAGACATTGAGCCTGAATCACGAAATTCCTGGCTGTGATCGAGAAGGACATCTGATGTCATTGGATACTGATAGAAGTGCAATGCGACCTCCAAAACTGGCACAAAAGAATGACACAAGAGAATCAAAATCAAAAGCTGAAATCGAAAATGACAAGCTTGACTCGAGTGCAAGTTTAGCTAAAACCTTCTCAACAAGAACTTCACCTTGTGCTAGCAATAAAGAAAACGATGGTTTCGTGACAACAAGGAAGAACAGTTGCACCGGAGCAAATGATGAAAATTCTTGGAAGAAACCAGAAAAGATATTGTTAGGAGTAGGGAAACCTCCGTTGTCATGTGGAAAAGACGGTGTCACAAAGAGAAAGGCATTGGCAGAAGCAACAAATTTTGAACAATATAATGTCGCGGGGATAACAGGGAAATGGCAATGCCCACAGAAACGTAAGCCTGATGTTGGGCCTGCTATGAAACAACTTAGGCTTGAGCGCTGGGTTCGTAGAATTTGAGAATATTATTTCACCAATCAATAAAAGAGTTTTCAGTTCACCGAGGAAACAGTTTTCAGTTCAATAGTGGTGTAAATATATATAGTTTTATTTTTAAAAAGCCATACATTTTATAAATATATATTATATTAACCAAATTTTAATAAATATACAAATATATGTTAATTATTAGTTTAAAAAGTTAGTTTATAAAATATATTTCAAAAGAAAAATCATATATTAATTTCATTTCTAATGTATTTAAATATATGTTTTTTCTTGGAAATTCTTGCGTACATTTAATAAGCATATATTATATTTATTAAATTTTATTTCATTTTTATTGTCCTTAAGCATTAAATGTAATAATATTTAATTTTGATTTGATTGCATATCTTCGATATAAATAGATTTATTTGAACAGTCATACATAAATTTAATTAACGTATATTATATTAATTAAATTTAATAAATATACGATAATTATAATATTAAGTTATATTTTAGTAGTTTATTATATATTATATTGATGAAATGATGATAATTAAAACTATATAAAAAATAAAATAGCTTTATTTATCTATTTATTTATGAACAACAATAATAATTAAAATTAGTAATTTTAAATTTATAACTAAATGTTGAAATTAAGTTAGAGATGGTTGATTTTCTTTTAAACTAGCTTCAACATATGTCCAATCTTCTTTTATGAATTCTAAAATTAAAAAGAAAACTTCAAATGATCGAGGAGGAAGGAGGAGGTATGCACCATTTTAGGTGAATATAAGTAAGAATGTGAAGAACATGCCACAAAGAAGAATTTGTTGATAAAAGTTTATAAGGAAATAATTTTTCAACAGAGAGAACTAAACTTCTTGGAGAGAACAAGATTGAATTTTATTCTCAAAATGTTCAAAAGTGAGTGTACATAAGAGGAGGAATGTATATATAGGGTTTGATAGCTTATGATACAAGTTAGACTAATCATAATTACGTGTAATTAAGGTTAGGTTAACTTCAAAGTCATGCATCCAAGAGATGCTCTCATGGACCATTCAATCTCAATAAGTTGAAAACTCATTTTCTAGTTATGCCTCTTCCAAAAACAAATTACACCGCTAAAAAGAAATTTACATGGAAATAAATTCTTACACTACTTTTACAAAAAAAAAATACAAATTCAAAATATGAAATAGAAACATACAAAACAACTATACAAATACAAAATTAAAAAACCATAAAGAAGGTAGAATTGGGTGTACTATAAGGAAGACTAGGTACACTATCCAAGCCTTCAAGAAGAAGCTTGGGTCTTTGGATCTTATGTCATTCCAAATTTTCCTTTCAATCTTCTAGTCATCAAAATATACACAAAATAATATGTATAAAAAAAGGAAATAAATTTTAGTAACTTATTAGCCCACACCCTTAGAATCCTATATAGACCTATCCCTTTTAAAGAGTTCATTAGTGGTTAGGATTGTATCACTAAATGTAAAGAATTTATAATAATTTATTAAAAATATTAATTAGGATTGTAAATTAAGATATATATAATATATATTTTATTTTTATTTAAATTTATTTTTGTTTAAAATATTTTTTAAATAATAACCAAAATAATAATTTTTTTTTAATGTATGTATGTTTATTTAGTCAATGAATGTAATACTATTTTATTTTGATTTACTAGTATGTTTTCAAAAAAAAAAATAAAAAAAATAAAAATAAAAAAATAAAAAAATAAAAAAATAATATATATATATATATATATATATCGATACTACATTAATGTTATTTTTTATATTTGGAAAAAATTATAAAAACAACAATTTGACTTTATAAATATTATCTTATATTTGAACATTAAACTTTATGCAAATTTCATTTATTTAATATCAAATTAGTATTTGTATTAAAGTCTATTTGTTAACTTTTTTAATTTAAATATGTTTTATAATAAAAAAATTAAATAACAATATTCTTTTTGTCAATGAATAATAAAATTTATAAATTTAATTTATATTTTATATTAATCAACTAGTTCTCTGCAACTAAAGATAATTAGTCAGACTGATAAAGAAGTCAATAAATATTTCACATTAACACCAAAATTATTTAAATAATAATAAAAAAATAACGAGAATTGGGGAGAAAGGGAAAATAGGTGACATGCCAAGAAATGGGCTGAAAGTTGCAGGCCCGATTGATATGCACTACTTGGCCCAGTAAGGCCCGGCACAAGACCATAAATAAAGCTATGGCAGTTAGAAGCGCAACGAGAAAGTTTGTTAGGAGGAAGAAGCGAAAGCAATGGCCTCTGTTAAAACTAAACGATGGCTTCCGCTCGAAGCTAACCCTGACGTCATAAATCAGGTTCTCCTTGTGATCCCAACGTCTCTCTTTTTCTATAACGCGGTTTGGATAGTAACAAATTTTAATCCAGAATGAAACAATCTTTTACAGTTTCTGTTTTTGGATCAAGTGCATGCATAGTATAACTATAATTATAACTATTTGTGCGTTTCGTAGTTCCTTTTGGGGCTTGGGGTTCCACACAATGAGGCACAATGCTGTGACGTTTACGGCTTAGATGAAGAGCTTCTGGAAACGGTTCCAAAGCCTGTTCTTGCCGTGCTTTTTCTCTATCCCGTCACCAATCAGGTTTTTACCTTTTTCCTTTTTTTTTTCTATGTGTGTGTCAGTTTTTTTTTTATTTTCTTCTGATTTTGCCAAACATTCACTGTTGTCAGACTGAACAAGAGAGATTGCAGCAGGAAGATGAAAAAAAGGTGACTGAATGGACAAATCTATTGTTATATATAATCTTTTCATCATTTTCCCCTGCTTCTGAGAATTGCACATTGTGTTTCACAATTGCTACCTCTGCTTATCTATTATAAGCAAATAAATAAATAACTGATTTTAAGAATATTAACATTAAGCTTAATTCTATTTTTTTTTCTAAATTGTCCTTGTTATAAATGTTAGTGCAAATTAAAATGTCATTCATTAAAGGAGGATATAGTAAGAAGAATATTATTAAATTATTAAATGAAATAAAAGCAATTCAAATTTGTTTATATTTAGAAACTATTTTTTTAATAGAGAACAGAGGGGTATGTATTTCTAGGTCTCATTATTTGGTAAACAGAAGCCTAATAAAATTTTATTTTATTTAATATCATAATATTATTGAACGTTAGTCAGTGATCTGCATGCTGTGGTGTTCTGGTGCAGGAATATGACAATAAAGTGTATTTTATGAAACAAACTGTGGGTAATGCTTGCGGCACAATTGGACTGCTTCATGCTCTTGGCAACTTGACTTCTAAAGTCAAGTTTGGTAAGTTTTCAATTGCTAACAATTCTCTGTTAGATTTTTAGTGCATGTGATCATTATTTCTCATTTATTTAGTGTTGCTTTTGTCAGTTGAGGGGTCGTTCTTTGATAATTTTTTTAAATCTACTGCAAGCTTGGATCCAGTGCAGGTTATTCCTCCCACCCTTACCTTCTTTCTCTTTTTTTCCCCAGTATATCCACATATGCAGGCATAGATATTATTTATCAACTAAAAGGAATGTTCATTTTGCATTTTTTTTTTTATATTATACAGCGTGGTGTGTTTCTTGAGAATAACACAGAAATGGAAGTTGCTCATACAGTGGCAGCGACTGCTGGCGATACAGAGGTAGTTTATTGATTGAAGCACCACTGTATTGGGAATTATGTGATATATTAGTGGAACTTGTGAAGTGTAAAAATAATCTAATCAATTTGGATTAGTTGTGTTCTTGTTGTTTCTTGTTAGTTTTTTAGTCTTTGGGTGTGATAAATGATACATACTCAGTGTCTTTATACAACATCATTAAATATGTTGATTTCTTTGGTGATGAATGATTTTGGGAATTTAGCTGTTGGGTTGGCTTTTAGAATAGTGATTTGAATATAGGAAAGGCCAGTTCTGCAAAAGTACAGGTTCCTCTGTTCAAGTTTATGTTATTATGTAACTGAGTCTCTGCTTTGTACAAAGATAGATGTCTGTAGACCTATTACATATTGATGGCCTTTCTACTTCACAGAAATACTAAATTTGTGAGTATATTTTAACTTGATTGAGTCAAACCCTGTTTCCTTCTTGAATTTATCTACCTTGAAGTTTTATGACTTGCATCCAATGTTCATGAGGATTTATTGGGAAAACGGGGTAGAAGAAGTTTCTTTCTAAATTAGAAGAAGCAATTAAAACATTTAATGACTCAATATAGTGCTAATATATATCTTATTCAGCTTCTCATCTTACCATTGAATTCTCTACTTCAAATATTTGTAATGCAGGCATCAGACCATGTAGATGCACATTTCATATGCTTTGCTTGCGTGGATGGTAAACTATCTATATAATTTTTTCAGTATATTACAGTACATTCTTTTTTGTTTTCCCTTCTGCGTTTGGTTGCATTTTTTCTGGGATTAATTTCCAGACGGTGTCATAATTCATATGCAGATGAACTTTTTGAGCTTGATGGAAGAAAGTCATGGCCAATATCTCATGGGCCATCTTCACCAAGTACTTTGTTAAGGGTAAATATCTTTTCATGTTAAGGCCATTATTATCTTTTTGCTTAGAGACTTGTGTTTTGAAAAGGATATGTTTGTTCAGCAAATGCATATAGAGAAAGTTTTTCTTTTTATTGTTGTCAAATGGTCAGGTTTCTATAGTGAAGTAGCGTAGGCATTTTCTTTAGACTGAACTTCCATTTTTAAGGACTAATTTCATAGATACATAATGCTTTGAATATGTTTGGTAAATGAACCTCTTCCTCTGTTATTCCCACACCAATCCACTAGTGGGTGCTACCGTAGATAGCCCCCTTCTTTGAATGCGTGGTGCACCCACTACACGGTTATGTGTCTTTTGCTTTGTCCAAGTGCTTTCTTCCTGTCAAATTTGGCGGGATTGTTGTTGAGTCTTGATCATGGCATTTTCAACCCTGCGTTGTCTTAGTCATACTATAATCCTGTCTTCATTATAATCTAATATACTCTATTATTTTTAACTTTAAAATTACTAATATATATTCAAATTACAACAGGATGCAGCTAAAGTTATACAGAGCATGATCCAGAAAAATCCTGACTCCCACCACTTCAATGTCATTGCCTTGTGTAAGAAATCCGGGTAGATACATTAAGGCTATTGATTTAGGTTTGTTGGGTCAGTGGGTATGCTTAGATTTTACTTTGGCAAGTGATCTAGGATGCAGTGCTTTTTCCACTCCAGATTGATGCAAAACGAAATACAACAATTTTTCGCATATGCCAACTAGTACTCAGTTCTGGCGAAGATATTTGCATCTTCATGGTCCTAGGCATATCAAGGTAGTCCATGCAAGCAAATTGCTATCTGATTGTTCTGTAATAACATCTAACAGAGCTATATTTTATTAATGTTTCTTTCGTAAATTAAAGTTGCTTCTAAACTAGGCAACATCTAGGTTGAAAATCTAATTAAACATGAGAAATCAATAAGACGGATTCGATTTTGGGGGCAAATAGCTATTTAGTATAAAGAAATATTGTAGAAGTCATAACTATTAAGCATTAACTGTGTCGGGCCAAAAAAATTGGGACATCAGAATTACGTATACTTATTGGCTGAGGTAACGATCTGAATTGTACACTTAATAACGTTAATAATTGTGCGTAAAAGGAAAGCCCCAATACATAATAAGGAAATCTTGGAGGCCTTTGCCTTCAGAGGCCAGCAAAGCAAATCAAATCACTTACTTGACCAAAGGAGCCTTTTTTCAAATGCAGAGAACATGCGATTATATGACGTTTAAACAAAATGTGGACCAAAAAACCAAATAAATTAGAATAATTTTGTTGACACTTGGCAGTTTGATGAAGAAATGGTTGAGGCAATCAGTGTTAATTTTGAAAGCATATTCTGCCTGTGAAATTTATTCTACAACAGGATCATTGTTATAATCAGGAAGATCGGCAAAGACCCAGCTCAACATTGACTCATTGACAACTTCAGGCAAAATTCGTTGTTAGGATGAAAGGAATGGTATGTTCTATTAGATTTCGTTCCAATTGTCACATTTTCCCAAGATTATATACCCTTTTTTATTTCTTATGATATGTTCTCTGCTTTGATATAAAATGCATAAAACGTATAATGAAACTACTGTGTTTTACATCTACCAAACCTGTCGTTTTAGGATTTAATCAGAACACATTGGGAGTGAAGATAGTTTGATATGGTAAAACATTAACAATGGTCATGGGATTAGTTGGTTATCTTTTATGATAATTATTTTAAAAGCTTGGTTAACTTTTTATAATAATTACCTTTAAAGTGGTATTAAGAATGACTTCTTAATTGTGTAAAACAGAAAGTGGAAAAAAAAAATCATTGTTTTAAGTTAAGATTACTGAAAATTTATATGCTACGATTGCTTTTTCCAATAAAATGATGCGATATATGACATCTAGAATGGTATAGATAATAATTGTATGTTATTTTAAATAAGCAAATTATTATATTAATATATATGAATTAAAAGTCGTATCATAATATATATATATATATATATATATATAT